TGCATATGCTTTGACCACTCGAGGCGTGGCTGTTTATGCCACGTAACTGTTGCACGACTTGTCAGATTCTTCAGCACGCCAGACCTGCTGTGCTGTCTTCTCCAAAGGCCCTGCGATGCCGGCATGCCTCTGGTGCCGTTAATGCCCTTACCTGGACGCTGTCCCAACGGGCAGGAACAGTTAAAAGAGTGAGGAACTAATGTTACAGCCCTTTAGAACAAGTATTTCTTAAGGGGTTTCTTGAGATGACAGGTGAATTATGACTATGCAAAGCTGAATGTATTTTTCCTCCTGTATGTATGTTTTGCTTTACAGGTGGAATACCGAGATAAACAACAATAATTCTAAGCTTTGACACTTTAAAGATTTAGGAATGTTTACAAATGAAGTTGAACTGTACCAAGCTATATTGTCTCATTGCTTCTGCAATTTTTCTGGTCATACCATACTTTACACTCCTCAAATGCAGCGTGGTACAGTGACCTCTCTAAAATCCTACACTGGAAACGGGGTTTTCTATAGTCTCACACTAGTATTCCTACCCTAAAGTGCTATTACAGTGCCTTCCGCTTCAACTGCTGACCAAATTAATGTGCTCCTCCACCTAATTTAATCCATACTTTAAAGACACTGCAACTCCCCCTACTCGTTTATTTTGCTCACTTTTGACTCTAAAAGGTGGCAACAGCTAAAAACAAGCAGTTGGCCCCAGAACACATCTGTCTTAAGGGGCAAGGAAGGCAGAACTCCAGGCACTCACTACTGTCACCCTTGTGCCTGGTGTCTGCTGCTCAAGCACGGAGGTACGCTGCAGGATAGGCATCACCCATACCGGAGCAGCTCCTTATTTAAGTGAGGAGGACTGGAACAGATTTACACAAGCTCAGAGGAAGGCACCAAGAGACTCCTATTTAAAGCGGGAGTGCCACCGTTCACTGAAGGTCAGCATTCCTTCCTGGCAGAGGGCAAGATCCTGAATATATTAAAGAACCATTAGAGTTCTCATACAGTTCAACTGCTATGGCAGCACACACCAGCTGTGAAATAGTTTGTGTTATTTGGGGGTTTGGGCTACTATTATGATTATTTTTATGCTTTTTTTAAAGACCCACAATGTTACGGTCAAGACTAGCAGAGGAACTTTCTCACACAGTGAACAAAAAGCATACAACTAACTAGACATCCTTTCCCTTGCTACTAGAATTGGGTTTTGCCTTCTCTGCAATAATTATTTCTAATTTCTGGACTGCGCTCCAGAGTCATCTCGATTCACTGAGGGACCTACTTCAAAAGCTCCCTACAAGACGGTGAGACCTTCGAGCTTGCTCTGAAGAGCCAGAAATACCGAGCTGGCGCAGGGCAGCGCTCTGCGACACGGGGACAGCGCACTCGCGCTCGCTTCGCTCTCCCCGGGGCTTAGGAAGGCATTAACCAAGTTAAGTTTCTGTCCTCCCCAACTGGTGCCACAACAGGAGGCAGAAGACAATGGGGAAAAAAAAAATCAGGGCACTGATTCAGCACAGCACATGCTTGACTTACCACTCGTAAAGTCAAAGAGATGCTCAGCTGCTGTGCTGGACCAGACGCCAGCGGCACAGCGGGCAAACCACGGCCCAGCCGTGCTGGCTACGGCACTGCCATGCAGATTCAGGACCAAACTGTGGATCGCTGACACCGCTACTTACCGGCGTTACTACGATTCCTTTCTTTCCACGTACAGAAAACCCCTGTGATATGGTCCTAAGTATACTGTTAACAAGTCTAAAGCATCATCAGTTTGATTAATAGCTCTCCGTGTTTCAAGTCACTCTGTGTTTCTGTAATTTATCTCTGATTAAGAGCCATGAGACCTTCAAGGCCATTTTTACTATTTTTCCCTAAATAGGCTTGTAAGCAGTTATAAATAATAGGTATTCACATTTTGAAAAATTTTTCAGGACATGCCTTGGTGTACATTTCTTACAACTAATACAAAAAATACCACAGAACAGTAACTAAACGAAAAGACAGCAGACATTTTTCATGTATTATTTAAAACAAGAAATACTTTTCAACTGAGACACGGGAGGAAAAATTAGCGTCCAAAACACAACAAAACATGCTGTCAGCTGTTTGAGATGTAGATTCATCTATGGTGCGAGGGAGGGGAAACAGCCTCGACAAATTCTAAGCTAGTTGCAAGAAACCAGAGTAGCAACAGGTATGCTATGGGCTAGGAGTAACTGCCTGGGTCACTGTGACACCCTACCAGAGGGTCAACAGCTGGGAATCCAGTTCCAAAAGAGAGACCCTAGAAACAGCATTCTGCTACAAGTTTGCTGTGTACCATACCACAGATGAGCCGAGTCACCTGGCAAATTTAATTGTAAAGATTGCTGCATGCAAAGCTTTTTTAAAGGGTAAAGAAAAGCTGAAAACATGTTTTAGACAAGGAGAGGAAAAGGGAAGGAAAAAGAAGAGTTATGTTTGGGAGCTTCCCAAGTAAAGATAAGGGCACTAAAACAAAACATGTTAAAAAACATTACTAGGCTACTTCTTTCTAGTCTGTCTTTTCAAATTTTAAAAGATGACAAGTACCATACCTGTTTAGCGTGGGGATGTTCCCTCTGTAATCAAACAACCACAGTTAGTTACAGATTGGTTAGTGAAAGCCATAATAAAGAACTATCATCAAGCTGATACACAGACCAGCAACAAGTTTACAATTTACTAACCCAAAATTTGTCAACCATCAGGTATCAGGCAGAATTCAATTTCGTTGACCCTGAGAAGGCACCCACCACCTGACTTCGCTTGCCACGGCTGCCAGGGGAATAAGCACAGACCATGCACGCAACATGCAAATAATACACCCTGGGAAAACCCAGGGGATTTGCAAGGTACCCTGCATTTCTGTCGCATCTCTTATCGTCCCCACTTCAAGCCCTTCGCACACACCAAGTGAGCTTCAGAAGCAAGACCCGGGGTGGGGGGGGGGGGGTTTGCGCTCCCTGACAGAACACAGAAAGCACAGATGCAAAAAGTGACCATATCACACGGGGAGATTGCAGCAGGTTCAGGAAAACAAGCCAAGTCCTCATTGCCAAACCTCTACGCTAAGCAGCAGCCCACGCACTGCCGCCCCCAACAACGCAGTAACAAAGCAGACACACAGAAACACCGTGGAATACTTGGCATTCTCAGCATTCAAGGCCCTCAGTACCAGAAAGAACAAGCAGAACTTAAGGCTAATTTAAGGAACATTTTACAGTTCCTTTTAAAACATCGGTCCAACGCTTTCACATATCTGCATGCAGACTGGGGCTTAGCGATGCACGTAAGACAGAAAGGCGGCGAGGGGCCCCTTTTCACACCAGCGTAAGAACAGCACAGTCTAGCCCATGCCAGCTACATTCATGGAAACACAAGATGACATATTGCTCCATGCGAGACGCAGAAATTGCCGTGATCTGACATTCAAAATAGCGAAGATTAAATTGAAGAAAAAAAAAAAAAAATACATGCACACAGGAGGCTTGTGCAAAGAGATCAGCAAACATGAATAGATGGAAAGCAACGCTTCAGGGAGCATGTAAATGGACAATCACACCCCCCCCCCTTCCCCACAGAAACCTGTAGGAGATCAAACCACAGACTTTCTTGACATCCCTGACCACAGGCAAGACTCCAAATTACTGGACATGAAGTCTCGGTACTTAAAGGACCAGTGTATTTCCATGGTCACATCGCTAAACACACTGACTGCTCCTGGTCCTGTTCTCACACTGGTTTTGTCACAGCACAGTCATATTGGCTGCGAGGGTGCGTGTTGGGTGCATTACTGGTAAAGGCACAAAAAGTTCCTTAAGCCACACAGGAGAAAGCACAAACCGGCCTCAAGATGTATCTGTTCAATGGTCAATAACAGAAGTATTTCATTTCACGTGGAGACAGTGAGGAGAGACATTGTGCTGCAGAGCCTGTGCTTAGGGCCAAAAAGGCCATGAGGCCTCAGGGGGTTGAGACTATTTTTTTAGCTTGGCAAATGGTGGGAAAGCTGCACGTGATCTACTTCAGCTGGAAAAAAAAAATCGTCTGGAGAGGACGGGCAGCTCCTACACCCAGTACACTTGTGTAGTGGTCCCTGGAACGCTTTCAGAAAAGAGACAGAAAAAACCCGGCACAACAAATGGTCCTTTCTGTCTCAAAAAGGGCACCCGTTGCCTGGCTCCAGGAAGAATTCTCCAGCCACTCAGTACGGAGCTGAAGAGACTATGGCAGGAACTGCAACGAGGAAAACAGAAGGCCCAGGGGCTGAAGATGTCAGAAAAGAACGGAGGAACAGTCTTCAGGCTGCACACGGTGGGGCTGGCTTTGTATCTGCAGGTCATCATAGCTGTGGAGGGCTTCTCGTCACAGGAGCTGGACTGTCACTTGCCACCAAAACGCACTAAGAGGTAAAGGTTTGATATCTGCAACACAACCAGGCCTTGTGACAAGGCACAGCAGCTGCTGAGCTGCACCTCCGCAGCTCTGACAAACAAAACACCAGCCGCCAGCCAGGCTGCTCGGCCCGACGGCACAGCAGCGCCGCCAGCAGCACCACGGCTCCCGGAGCTGAACCAAGGCGCAGCTGATGGAGCACGCCCCGACCGCGCTCTCCACGTAGCCGATCACAGGATCTGAAACCTCCTCACCACACCAGCCCCAGCCCTTCTCCCTCTCCCTTCTGAACTTTTAGGGAGAACCTTCTTGACCGGGGAAGCTGACCTCGCCAGGAACCTGCTCCACACCGATGCAAGCTCTACTGTCACAGCGACGCCTGCTCAAGCAAATCCCCTGAGCTCCCCCCCTGTACCTCCTGGTTGAATCTGAATGTGTTTTCCCCTTACCCCTCCCTTTCCTTTTTTTTTTTTTCCTTTTCCTTTTTAAACAAGAGCGCTCCCCTATGAAAATGATGGCAACGCATGCAAAGCACCACTGGTTAGATCAAGCTGTGATTGAGTGCCAGCGCAGGGCAAAGCTTTTGAAATCAGGCAGCAAAGCGGAATCAGCAGAGGTCGGCTGAATAACCCACTTGTAGTTATTAACAGCAGTACCACAGGAGAAAGAGCAATTCCACTGGCTGTGACCAGTGGCATTCCTCTTATGTTTCTTCATTTCTGTAGAAGAATCTAAACAGAAGGCTGTGAAACATGCCTCAAACCATACATTTTGATTGGGTTTTTCCTCTCCCTCTTTCTTTCCTTATTCTTCTGCTCCCTCTGTGATTCAGCCAAGCTGAATCTGCTACTGAAGTCCAATTTGCATAAAATTATCGTCGTTCCATTCAGTTTGCTGCCCCTTCAACAGCCCCTTCTTTGCTCTGTTGGAAGATTTTGCCCTTTTTGAAACAGGCAAGCCAAGGGAACTGCAACACATTACTGCTGCCTGCTGTCTAATTAACATCAAACCCTCAGCACGGAACTGCAGGGATTTACAGGTGTCCTGGAATCATTTTCCCCTCCTCCCTCCCGATCTCAGCCAGTCTCTCGCAACGAGGAGCGGACCTCAGGCTACCTAATGATACACTACGAGTTATACGCTCGGGTCTCCAGGCTCGTACGGTTAGAGTCCAAAGCAGCACAGCTGATTCAATACTGGCACCCCAAAGACTGATGCAAGAAGCTGTTTTAGCAACTACTTTAGCCCACAGAAAATGCTTCTATTTCATCAGAAATTCAAATCTTGTATTGTTGTAAAATGACAGTAGGAAGGAACCTATAAACGCTGCTCTACGTGTGAGTTTTGGCTTCTTATTCTTCTGTAAAGCGCCCTGCTTGGAAACAGCAACATTTAATTTGACTTTCAGCCTTCAAAATGGTTTCTACCTGTAAGCTAAGGAAGAGGCTGACAAAAAAGAACAAGCAAAATACTCCATAGATGATAAAACATCAAGAGACAGCAAAGGAGAGATCATGCACCACTCTTAAGCCTTGAAATCAGCAACATCAAAGTCCAAGAAGGGCGTCAACAAACATCCACAAGCACAGAAAGAGGAGATACTGGGCAAAACCAAGCACAAGGTAGTTGAGACATTTATATTGACACCCTTGGAAATACAAAGCAACTAATGACTAGACCTGAATTCCAGCCTCAGAAGCATCACGGACAGCAGGACGCAGTCCCAAGAATGAACTCAACCTAGACAAGTCTAAGCAAGGCATTTGCCTGTATGTCTGTTTGCCCAGTTGTGTGCATTCCCAGCTCCAGATACAAACAGGGTTCGCTGGTACCAGACATCTTGTTTACCAAGTTTCAAAAGTAAAACTTGCTTTAAGCCAATCATGAAAACCTAAAGCCTCAGCCTGCAGTGCTGAAACTTCCCTTCATTTCCACCTTCCGATGGTACATCCTGACTCGAGATTCCCCGGAACGTCTCAAGGCCAAGGGTGGCAGTTCAGGAGGGCACATGGGACAAAAGGAAGGCGTGGGCTCAATGCACAGATGGATTGGGAAGGCATGGCTAAGGCATCAGAGTGAGCAAAACAGGCTGGGTTATACTTCAGTGTCCTTGGGGGCTCAACATATTTAGAAGGCAGAGCCCTGCAGTATCACTGCCACATCCTAAAATAAAGATATACCCAGCACCTCTACATCACCTTTGTCAGCAACTGTCTTAGCATCTGACAGAAGGAACACATTTACCTCTGGTAAAACAGAGGGATCTGTTTTGTGGGAATACATCTACCTCCGAGTTCTTCCCTTCTGATCCTCCAGCACATCTGCTACTGGGGAAGAAAAGATCAAGAGAGCAGCTGGACAACCTGGCTGGGGGGAATGCAGTGAGCTGGAGAAAAGGGGATGCTTTAGGAGGAGCAGTGCAGCAGCAAGACTCTGCAGCAGGCTCCAGAAGCTGGCTACAGCAGACAATGTCCCAGTTTAATTTAAACCGTACTGCTTCAGACATAAGAAAGGCTGTTTGAAAGCAGGAGAGGAGAGGGGGATTATTAGAAAAAAAAAAAGAAAAACTTCTCCTGTTGAAAAAGCACTATAATTCCCTCTACCTCTCCCTATACTAGACACACAATGTTTCTTTGAACAGAAGATTTTAAGCTAAGATTAGGCAAGCACTGTTTCATGTGCTGAACACCTAAGAAAGGCCTTTCAGTGTCTGTCACCCAGCTTGCCATTCTCACAAAGGGAGCTGAACTCTCTAAACACCAGTCAATATTCCACCAGCTTCCCATCTCAGCAGGGCAGTCTGAGCAAGAGGGAAGCAAAGAACAGCTCGGAACAGGGCTCATTTCTTCCTCCCATCTTTTCTCACCAGGACTCCGGAGGACTGAAAGAGGCAGGTTACCCAAACGCAAGGGGCTCTGCACGTCAGCGTGTGTTTGCGGAGCCCTGCTGCAGCACGCAGCGCCCAGCGTCCCGGACAGCCCCTCGTATCGCTGCCTCCAGAGGGGATCACTGCAACGCCCTCTACTTGGAGAGGGCTTGAAAACTCCCTTTACTGTGAAAGGCACCAGACGGTTACACCATACCCCTCACCCGCCTTGCACTGGGCCATAAGGAACGCTGGGCTGGATCTATAAAGCCCTCTGTGGTTTCAATTATAAGCAGGTTTTCTCTCTATGTCTTACCCTTGCAATCAGGATCAGTGGGGATTCTTACAACAGGATGTTTTCTATGATTTTAAACAAATAATTCCCCAAACAGTTTCTGCCCACAAAACGCACCAGGAGCAGGTTGCAGTTCTGTGACTTTGTTAGCAGATTTAACAGTTTTTCTTTCCTCTCTGCTTCCATGTAAAGCTCTCCTACGGGTAGTTGATGGTAACCATTCAGCGGCCAAAAATACAACGTCTGAGTGCCTAGCTGTGATCAGTCGGATCAGAAGTAGCAACTGGCTTCGTTTCTGTTGCAATTAAGTAAAGGCATAGCAGGGTTAAATACCAATAACAAAGAATTTAAATATAGCAACGATCACCAGTTTGCAATTTTCTCTAGATGAGTATTTGTTCCAGTAAAATTCAGGCCCTTAAATGCTCACAGAAATCAGACACAAAAGGATCCAGCACTTAAAAATATCTGACAAAGTGCTGAAAACCGTGTGCCATCATACAACTAACGCCAGCTCCAGAAGTGAATGCCCTCTTAAGGGCTCTCCGGTATCCACTCCTGGTTCACCAGGACCCAACCCTGCAGAGCCTCAAGGGACATTTTGCTTGGAATACTCTGGCTCCAGGCTTTGTCCTTGGAATGCATTTTTAGCTTTTCAGTCTAAAAGTTCATGCTACAGAAGATAGAGAAAAACATACGGTGGACGTAGAACATGGTCAAAAACAACAAAGAAGACTTAAGCAAGACAGTGTCAGAGTTTTGAAATTTCTGTGTCTTGGGCTTAACATAAGGCCTGCCTTCACAGCTAGTTTAAACCTACACAGTCAGTGCTAATTCCAGACCCCGGGTATCCTGGTACCGGCTGTGCCTCAGCACCCAGCCACGCAGCAGCCGCACAAGCAGGTACCCACTGCGAGAAGCTGCATCAAGCAACAGGAGCCAAATCCATCACTACCAGACCGAGGTGCAACTCAAAGGAACCGAACCGGCCTGTGCAAGCAGTGAATTTGCCCCCAAGCCCGCTGGCCTCTGCACAAGGACCGCAACGCATTTCCAGTCAACCATCAGCAGCGCCGACGGTTGAGAAGCAGAACGGAGCTCCAGAACATCGCCCCAACGAATTCAGCGTAAAGGAGAGAGATTTCAGGACAAAGAAGCTGTTCCCCGAGCAGGTAACAGTTCTCCTCTTCCCGCTGACCTTGTCCAATTAAGCTTGCACACAGTAACAGAGCAGTGGTCAGCACGGGCAGGTCAAACAACTCGAAAGCAACAGAGGTAACTGAGACCAGCAAAGAGAAAAAATGGAGGAAGAACGGCAAGGGGAGAGAGAATTATAAAGGGGTACTAAAAATAGTATGCAATTATTTACAAGTATTCTAGAAATTTAGGAAACAGATGAGACCAAATGCATGTCCCATTTGTATCGTGAGTGTTTTGTGCTGCTTGTTGAGGACAGTCATTCATTTCTAGCAAACTAGATTCTGAAAACCATTTCATAAAATGTATTGATGGATTCTCAATGAAGCGAGACTGGACCCCGTTGCCCAGCCTCACCAAAAATAAAATAAGGAAAAAGATGTTTGGAAACAAAGGAGAAAAACAGCACTGGTACCCTACTGCCAAACCAGCACGGACCAACAGTGGCACCCGGCGGCCACGGGGACACACTGCGCCGCTTGGCTCCAGCACCCTCTCGGCTGCCCGGGACAAAAATAAAACGCCGCCTAAAATACCCTCCTGATTTCCTGCCGCAGGTGAAAAAAGCACGGGAACTGACTAACCTGAGGGATGCTGAAGCAGCTCTGATAACCAAGTTGGTCTGTCTGCTTTAAATGGCCTTAGCACACGCTAGGAGGTGTGAGCCTTCTACAAAAAGGGCAGCGAATAGTCGATGCTTTTGGTTGCAGTCGTGAGAAATACATTCTGAAAAATACTGGCTGAAAACCAAATTATGTCAGCTCCGGCATTTCTATAGAAAATACATTCATACATGCATCTTGGTCTTGTCAGGCAAAAAAAAACACATGCCAGAAAAGATTTCACCTTATCCAGTAAAGCCAGGTTTGAAAGTAGTAGTAGAGCCACTCACAAACAGTTACAAAGGGCTGGCAGGGGAGCGCTGCAGGAAGGGGACAGAGACTGTTTGACTGCTCTTTATTAAAATCTCGAGTAACTGACTATTCTGTCTGGAATTGTGTCTTTTGGAAGGCTCGGGATTCAGCTAGAACTGAAGTTCTAGAGGAAAGTTACTATGCAAGCTGAACTTAAAAATCAGAAAATACATGGAAACTGTATTATATTTAAACTAATCCAGACTGCAGAAACTACTGCCTGAAGCTCCTGAGGTTTTAAGTGACTTAGGAGAAGGAACTGGGTAATGTAGGCTTCTATCTTAAAATAACTGATGCTTATTTGAGACACTGGGACTCTCCCTTTCACCAATTCTATTGCAAGTTTTCTTTGCCAAGACAGGATGTAGCCCCTCCTAAACCTCCGATTCCAAAGGCACCTGAACACGTGATCTGACCTGTTCGGATGGGAGGTAGGTAGCATGAACTGGAACTCCACCACACAAGTGTTATCCTTCAGCTGGCGATGCTGGACACTGTTTAACTCATAGGCAATATATGCCCTTCGAACGTACACCTGGTCAGAGAGAAACTCAGTCAGCTTAACTGTGCCAAGGAAGCAGGAAGATGACAAGTAATACACCAGAGACTTAAAAAAGCCCTAACAAAACCAAACCCCAAAACAGCTACCTCCAAACGAGTATCTAGATAGAACTCTAATTCAACCAGAATTTAAAGTTATCTGAGGAAGGCCAGTCGGGCAGGATACAACCACCAGCACAAGGCACACAGGGCAGGCTGACCACATTCTCTGACAGCAGCTTCACTTTCAATCCTTTCAACCACCCAAATCTTCTTCTGGCAAAGATAACCTGAATCTGAAATTTCAGTCAATCATAAATATTAATGCTGCTAAATGCCAGACTCCAAGTATGCCAGATTCCACACAACCTACAGCTCTCTTAACCTTGCAGGGTAACAGTGCTCAAAATAACAACCACCAAAAAACCACCCCAAACCTCCCAAAAAAACACCATCCACAGAAAAAGTAAAATTTTTTTTTTTTTTCCCAATGGTTTCAATGGGAATAAACTTACCTCCAAAGCTGCCATTCTTACCACCTGGTTACTGTGGTAGAAAAAGTTGGGTAGCACATCAAAGATGGATGTCTCAGACAAAATGAGTTTCTAGAAGAGATCACATTAAGCAGAATTTTAGAAGAGAAATGCCTGTCTTGCAAACAGGGTGAGGCAAGAAAGCAAAAACCCCAAATCAAGCCTGACTAGCTCTGATTTCCATGCTTGTCCTGTTGTTCATCCAGGATTATGGCATATCACATTAAATCATAAAATATCTCAAGCTGGAAGGATCGTCAAGTCCAACTCCCTGCTCCTCGCAGCACTACCTAAAACTAAACCATATGACTACGGGCGTCCTCCAGACACTCCTTGAACTCCGAGAGGCTTGGGGCCGTGACCGCTTCCCTGGGGAGCCCATTCCAGCGACCAACCACCCTCTCAGCAAAGAGCCTTTTCCTAATGTCCCATCTGAACTTCCCCTGACGCCGCTTCATCCCATGTCCTCATGGCCTACCACTGGTCACCAGAGAGAGAAGATCAGCGCCTCCCCCTCTGTTGTCCCCCTTGAGGAAGCTGTCGGCTGCGATCAGGTCATTCTCATATCAGCGTAGGAATGAAAACAAAAATGAGGGGGAAGGTAGAAACTAGAACAATCCCATCTAAAGCCACAAGGACTTCAGGACTACAGGTGAGGTTTAACACAGCAACATTAAGATCAGCGAGAAGAAAGCAGGGAAACAAGGAGCGAAGTTTGGTAGATACCTGGAGGTTCTCAATGCAGAACTGGTGCCCATACATGTCGATAGCGGACAGGAAGATGGACTCCACCTGGTTGTGACGCAGCTCATAGGACGGCAAGTGGGAAGCAATGAGCACCTGGCAAACAGCAAACACAAGGGGTGTCAGTGAGAGGAGCTACGCTGGGCCATCGGCAGGAGGTTGTTACCCCCGAGGCAGCAATAGTCTGCTCCATCCCAGAAGAGGCGACTGGTTTCTCCTGTGGCACCTGGGTGATGCTGCAAACCCTCTCCCCTCCCCAGCCTCATTTGTGTATCTGCTCCGTTTGTATTATTGGCCGTTCCCCATGGAGAAAAGGAACAGCTTCCATCAAGTTCCATCAGTGCATGTGATTCGGCACTGCAGAGCTGCTAGTCCTGGGGATTGCCTGACCGGCTGTTAATTGGAAAGCAGATCTGGCAGGCAGCAGCTGCGGGGAGGCCAGCAACGGAGGCGCCTTTCCCAGCTTCCGAGCAGAGGAAGCAAGAGACACTGGTGCCAGGTATTAAACGCCCAACATGAAGGATACGGGGATACGAAGGGGAAGCAGCTTGCAGGGGAAAATGACGTGAGAGAGCAACACAAAGACGCACCATCCCCAGCACGCTGCTGAGGGGTTCAATAACTGAACGGTTCAAGGACACAAATACAATCCCGAAGGAAACATAAGGTCACTGAGCAGCTTCAAATGCCCCATTCATTTTCAACAGTCGAGCTCTGAAATAAAAGGAGAGATCCCCAAAGCGTCAGCTTTCCCACTGAAGACTTTTAGAAGGGAGATAGGGACTGTGGAGTGATCAGACTACAGGGTTAGCATTACCGTGAAACGATTATGCCCTCTCACTCCTCCTTGGCTACAGACTAACTGCTGAAGAGGAAGCTCACAATAACACCTAGGTGGATATCTGGCATTCAAATTATCTGTACTAGACTCTTGGAATTGACAGTATCAAGAGTTTCTCCCATTATTTTCCTGTTAGAAAGAAATTGGCAAAACGCAACTCAAAAGCTAGAAGAAACCCTGCAAAAGACCAACATAATTCTTTGCAATCGTTCCTCAGCAGTTGCAAAGAAGATCTGGTTCTTGTGTGAACTTCCCTCCCTGTTCCCTGCACACACACAGGTTCGCAGTTGCAAGGGAGCCCTGATGAACCCGGGCAGCACGCCCTGGCTGTTTACTGTACAGCTGCCCGCACGTTCCAGGCAGCCAGTGCTCGTTGGGTTCACACATTATAAAGCCAGAAGGAACCACAGTGACCATTTATTTCTACTTCCTCCATCACACAAACCACAGGCTACTCCCAACTAACTCCTATTTAAGTCAGACAAAACTTTTTGGAGGGGCAGGGACAAAGGAACGTAATCATAACTTCAAATTTTACAGCAACGGGGAATCCACTGCAACCTTCGTTAGACTGTGACAATGGTTGATCACTGGTTAATTAGCTTCATTGTTAAAGCGCTGCTCACAGTAATCTACCCTTCATATTTGCATAGTAACCAAAATAAACACCAAGAGATACAGACTTTCCAAAAGAGCGAGCTCCAAGCGGGAGCAGTCTCTATTGATCCGACCAGCGACGGCACAGTCTGTCTCTAGCCGGGATCAGCTTGGATTGCTGAACACGCTCCCTTACCTGCCGTGCTCGCAGGGCCACTTTGGCGTTGGTTGTCTTGCTGAGCTGGGTCAGCTCTGTCAGAATATTAATCAGCTCATCTGTCAAGGTGGGGTCACGGCCACACAGCTGATCCTAAAAATAAAGAGAACTGAAAATGTTTAAAACAGAGGAAAACCATCTTCTGTCCTCCTACAAAGGAGTTTAAACCATGAAATACACACACACACACACACATACACTCAGGTGCTGGAGCACATCACCTCTAGAGGTGCCGATCTAAATTCTTCTGTAATTCTGTGCTACCAAGGGTATAATAACTTTCAATGATTTTACACATATAAATAAAGCTACAGAGGAAAGAAGGGACTGGCACCATCATCCATTTTCTTATTTGTAGCCTGTGTTTTGGCATCCAAACACATGAGAAACACTGACTTGTCAAAGAGACTCAAGTCAAATATTTTCCCACCACCCAATTTCAGCTTTGTACCAGAAGTCTCCCCCAGCAGCAACGCAAAATTTGAGGAGCATTTCATGGTAGTGAAATGCCTTGTGTAGCATGCAAAGACCAGCTAACTTTCACCGCGAAAGGTGACCAAACAGAAGAAGTTTAACTGCCAGGAGAACCTCCCAAAGTCCACTGAAAGAAATACCCCAAAACCAAAAAACAACCCCACAACCACAAACCAACCACACAGCTTTGTACAGCTTCAGCAACACCAAAAAAATAAAAAGATCCTGTCATTCCCCTAACAAGGCTAAGCAAAGCTAACCAAAACCAGAAACGATATAATGCGTTTCCTGCCACCATACAAGACTGGCACCACAATATTTCTTCTAACCAGAGAATCCAGGTTCTGAGGAAGTTCACCAGCTTGCTTTACTGTCTAAACTGGCTGGATAAAAGAATAAAACCAAACAGCATAATTGTCAGTGTTAATGTTATTTTAAAACTCTTTTGGATTCAGCCATTCAAAAAACCACTAACAGTAAGGACCTGAAGCTGTTTTGTTCTCTGAACAGAGGAGGTGCGCTCTCATGCACACTGTCTTCCAAAAATAGTTTCAATTCCCATGAACAATCCCACAGTCTTCAACTACTCAAACTGGCTTGTGAGCCTCTTCCCTCCCACTCCTGAAGCTGGAAATCCTCTAGGAGCCTCTAATGCGTTTCTTCTATGCAGCACTTAACAGCTTTTCTCTTGGTAAATGAATCATAGGAGGAAAACACGAGATGAAACAGGGATTTGCAACAGGAAAGAGAGCTGGTGCCTTAAAGAGATTTTAAATACATACAGGCCAGAAAAGGCCCTTTGAAGATCCAAGAAATAGAAAGCGAAAAAGGGAAACCACTGCAGCAGGTTAGATTGATAAGCCTGCCACAGAAATATAAAAGTAAAAACGAAAAAAAAAAATAATACAAGTCCCATAGACTGACTAACAAATAACAGCTCATACTACACACAATTCCAACACTAAACAGCTTTTCCTCCACAGTGCTCTTGACCCCTTTCTCTCTGACCCTACTCAAGCACGGTGCCATCTCCAGGAAAGACGGCATACATTTCTCAGGGAGAGAGACCACAGTCAAGTCACTCTTATTAAATTAAAAAAAAAAAAAAAATCTAAGCTACTAAGTCTTACTAGATTGCTGTCCCCTACTACCTAGTTTTCAGCCAGCAAACATTACAATGGTTCTTCCCAAAGAAGGTTCTGTAAATTTATCACTCCAGGTCACTGTGTGAATTCACAGTGAATAATTCATTGTATTTGGAATACAGATTCCTGGGTGTTGTAATGTTACTGCCCAAGGTAACGAAAATCCAGTAGGACACAAGGCATATGCCACGCCACAAGCAATTCTGTCCAGTTAGGGCTAGGATGTGCATACAACAGTCAGTTAAGTACATAAAATGAACATATAACTTCAAATCACTTATATTTCACACTTCAAACACTGTATTTCAACAAATATATGAAGGGTGAAGTAGTTCCCATCCTGCCTTAAACGCCTGCTAGCTAAAAAAGGTGAATGATGGCAGCATAACACTATTACTAAAACCATCCTCAGAGCCCCTTGTTAATAATGGATTCCTAGGGATACATCAATAACAGCAACATAAGCATTTTGTATCTTGACACGACGTTTGCCCTTGGAGGACAAACTTAAACCATCCCACATAAATAGCCTGGCAACCCGTAAGACGCCACAGCCTTCGCCATGATGGCACCAAGGGTGCCAGGGGGTTCTCAGACACCAAGAGTAACGCGAGTCGGAAGAAAGAGGAACGACGGTCTTTTGGGCAGTGGCGTGACCTGTAAGTGCGATGGGAACCCCTGCGGCCGCAGGCACGCTGCCCTCCTCGGTCCCCGTCACCCGCTCCCGTCTGGGGAGGCCCTGCCACACGGCGCTCGTGAGGGCAAAGCCTGGGGCACTGTGCTGGCAGAGGCCTGGCAAACGGCGCCCGCATCACCAGCCAGCGACCCGGCTGTCCTTCCACCACCAGCATGTTTTAAGTTCCAGCAAACTGGGATGTCAGCCTTTACTTGTGCAGAAATTAACTGACAGTGGCGGGAAGAATGACGACGCAGGAAGAAAAGAGGAAAACTCTTCGACCTCCCTCTGCGTTCCCCGTCTCCCAGCACGCCCCTCGCTCCCCCAGACGGACGCTGCGCCCCAACGCGAAGGCACAGCACGGCTCGGCCCACAAGACACGGCTTGCACGGAGGGAGGTGAAAAACGAGACAAAAAAGTTTCAGCCCCGTTTTAGCGAGAAATAATCGCGATGACAACAACAAAATAAAGCAGGGAGCTGGCGCTGCACTGGCTTTTGCCTGCACTGATTGGCAAAGGCGGCGAGCAAAGCCTCAAACCAGCTCTTTGACAAGGCCTAACGCCTCCCCGGCACCCCCGTGTAATTACACACTTGAGTGACTGGACTCTGAAGAAAATTGAAGGCCTGAGCTGCGAACAGCTGCCATTTTCTCTCTCCATCACGCCAGCATGATTACTTGAGAAATGAACAGCCCCGGCTCAAAGCTACTCCAGAATTCTCAGAGGAAATATGGCTCCGTGTTCAAATAATGAGATTCTTAAGGCAAGCGTTACTTACAATCACACCACACACCAAAAAGGGAAAGAAAAAAAAGAGGAAAAAATGGAAAAAAAAAAAGAGAGCCAGAAAGAAAGAATGCCAGGGTCCTTATATCTTACAAATTAGAATTTAAGAAACCCAGCCTCAGCCTAGGACAATTACGACTCTTTTTCTGCCTTTGAGAGTTATTTTGTGGATGGCTACTTTGGACATATTTTTGGCAGTAGTACACCACATTATGTTTAAAAAAAAAAAAAGGAAAAAAGAAAAAGGAGGGGAGAAAGAGATAGTATTGTACTTAGCCTCCTAAAAAGCAGGATACCTAACTCTCGTCTGTTGAAAATCATGTCATAGCTAAATTTATCCTGCCTTGAGGAAGGTGGCATTCATTCTGCTCTAAAGCATTCCACGAGACAAGGATTTTTTGAGGCTTTTCAGGAAACAGGGGAAAAGAGACAGGACTCAATTGTTGGGTTTTTTTATTATTTTTCCTTGGAATGTAATTTACTGGGAGTTTTACCCACTAGAGTGGGACTGAAGTTAATGAGAACTGAGATTTTTCAAGGAGTAACAAGCCAGAAGAACATGAGAAGGTGATGGCAGCTCCTGGCATGAGGATTCATTCGTGTTTCTAGGGTGGAACCTATGTCTGTCCAACAGGAATTCTGACCCCAGGAGATTCCCCATCCCTTCAACAAGCCCCCTGGACAGCTGTACACCGACCCAAGGGCCAGAGGCCTGATCTGGAGAGACCAGCTTTGGGCTGAGATACTGAGTCCCAGTCAGATTCCATCCTGCAGCCCAGAGCACCGCTGGTCTGAACGCACCACTGCAGACCTGAGATAAGATTTTCTGAGACTATAGCCAGGGAGCAGCTAAGAGAGCCACTGCCAAACCTGTAAGATCAAACTATGGCTTATCGAGGAAGAGCATGTGAAACCCCTCAAGGGCCTCCATATGCGCTGGCTAATGCCATTCACTACCAGAAAGTCACCCTCATTAGTAATTAAGGACCATAAAAACGGTGCTATTACAGAAGTGTTACCACAAAAAAAAATAATCATCTGCTTTTTGCGCTGGTAGCACATTGCTTCGCTTTCCAAGCAACTCCAGTTTGAGTACCATGAGCTATACAAAGACAGGAGCTCTCTGAGACCCCTGAAGATGAAGCACCAAATTAAACCAAGTATAAAGTCACAGCCCAGTGTCTGAAAGTCAGCCTCTAGCATCCTCCCAGTGTAAGAGTTAAGCCTGCATTCTTATCTCCCCACAGATGCTCACAAATCACTTGCATAATTAGCCTTCATTGCACTCTGATAGGCAATCAATGCAGGACAGGCAAGCAGAAGGTGCACAGGCACTGAGCTGAGCAGTATGTTTTGGGTCTCCTCTAGCGCACAGCTTACGTGCCCCCTAAGAACACATGAAGAAACTCCACACTGCTGCCGTAACTAGAAGACTTGCATCTTTACGGATGACAGCTGTCAATTTAGTACCTTTCAAAGCATCAAACATACAACTACAAGGCAGCAGCACGTTTCTAGAGCACCGACAGACAACTTACAATGAGCATTGTAACAAGCAGGTTCTTCTTGGTGACCTGAGCATGTGAGAAGATGTAGTTCAACACAGCATTCATATCACTTTTGTTCTCTTCCCGAAGGGTAAAGACACACTTGTCATAGTGACCTGCAACCAGAAATGCACATTTTTTTTCCAGTCTCCACATCTCTGTGTCAAGGAATACAAGTTACTAGATGTGTCCTTATTTTTCTACATATCTTTTTTGAGAATCTACTTTGCATGGTCCACACAACCAATTCTGGGAATGAAGGAAGCACCACCACCCCCTCAAACTTTCATTTAAACTTCCTACTCCTATTAAAACAGTTCCAATACCAAATACCTCCTTTGTGAGCAACACGAAGAGATGAACGGTGAGCTCAGTCTTTCATTCAAATGACATCCAAAATAAAGTAATAGCAAAAAGACTTGCACCATCCTCTACTACCAGCAAATTGAAGTGGAAATGAATCTGCAGTACCATTAGGCTGGTGCAGGTATTGGAGCAGCACAAAAGCAAAGTAGAGCGGAATTTGAACTACCTGTAAGAGCCAGAGCCTCCAAATTAGCTAGTGCTTCATTGCCATCTTGTGCCAGGATACAGCAGTGCAATGCATTTACTTCAATTCTCAGTTTCAGGCTGTTTGAGGTTTGTTTTTATGAACAGCAAATAGCTTCCTGGTATTTTACAGCAGGTGCAAATAACTCAGTGACTTTTTTTTTTACTGCACTTGATTTTCTCACTACAGAATTTAATAAACAGCCAAGATGGAACTAAATAGCGTGGTGAATTTAAACTGTTTTTCTGAGTCTAATTTTTCTGCAGATGCTCAGAAACCAGGAAATAAAAATCAAGCTTCTACTATGAAGCTTCTACATGTGGAACACCCAAGCGGGGGAACTCGCCGGCGGCGGGCCACTGCTGACAGGGTCAGAGAGGGAATGCAAAGGAGAACTGCTTCACCTCTGATCTAGAACAAGCAAAGACCACAGAGACCGGCTGAGCCTCAGCGAGCTCAGTGACAGACCACAAATGGCCACACAAAGAAACCCATCATTTAGTGAGTCTGTCATTTTACTCCAGGTTACACAAAAGTCATAGAGTCACGGACTGGTTTGGGTGGGAAGGGACCTTAAAGACCATCTCGTCCCAACCCCCTGCCATGGGCAGGGATGCCTCCTGCCAGAGCAGGTGGCTCAAAGCCCCGTCCAGCCTCAACATAAGCTCCTCTACAAAAACCAGGATCTGCCTGGCAGACCTTTAAGAGAAAACCTGTGGAGCTCACCCTCACCACAAAGTTCATCTTTCTTGACGAGGTCCATGTGGACCTTCTGGGAACAAACGGGGTTCTTTCAGAAATCAAATCCTTGATGTGCTTAAAGACTCACCATGCTGAAACTGAGTCTCCACCTTCAGATACTGACGGAGCAGATCCATCACCACCGCCTTCATGTGACCCCGAATACCACTCCGGTACCTGCAGAAGCAAGTGGATCAAACCTAGCATGGCCCTGCTTCTGAAGACCTGCAAGTGAATAACGCTCAACACAAGGGGCACCATAAGCCTGTTTGCTTACCAAAAGAAGCAACCTGGCCCTGAAAACCCCGACAGTTACTTGAATACAAACCCCTGCCATTACTGTTGTGGGGTAGCATGGCTCATGTTTTGCATCAAAATGTCCTTTTTCTTCTCAAAATATTCAAAACTCTAGACGCTGAAAGGCGTAACACACACCAGCAACTTGACGAAATGGCCAAGATGTGATCAGTGTCAGGACAGAAGTTAAATCTTTCTTTCATATGGCAAAGGGAAAACGAGAAGGATCTGTAGGTGAACTTCACACAGGCAGCCAGGAGCCATGCACGCACAGCCCCCCGACGGCTGACCTCCCCGAGGGAAGCACGGAGGCTTATTCCTAGTGATTTAGACACTGAGTGTGTAATAAAACCATTCGAGTAAAGACAAGCTCGGGTTTTTCAAGCAGCAGAGAAAAAGAAAAAAAAAAAGGGGGGGGTTAGGAGGCACCCCTGAAAATGGCTCACCTCTGTACAAGCTGCACGATGCTCTGAGTGTTCATGAAGAAGACCTCACGCTCTGATTTGCGGTTCAAGGTGGCCGCATGGCTATCCAAGATATTGGCAATCTGAAAGAGAGCAATCACATGACAGACCCAGTCCCGGATGGGATGATGGGGCTGAATAACCAGCAGAGAAGCTGCGAACTTTCAGACAGACCAGACCGGCGCTTCAGCAGGCTCCACCAAAGGCCAAAGCCTTGAACTGCCAAGGAAGTTAATGACCCAAAAACGATACGAAAAATTAGTGCACAATATCATATACTGCAGAAATCATCTTCCAACATCTCATTACCTGATCAGGCCTCCCTTGCCTGCAATCACTTTCTTTAAGGTTACGCTGACACTACAAATTGCACTGCAGCACATATACCAGGCAAAAAGCAAGTAAATAAATGCCCACAAGGCCACTGATATGATTAAACTGCTTCTAAACTGCCTGTTTAAAGCTATACTGAGCCGGGAACACACACTCAAGTAATACAGTAAGTATCCTTCTCACAAAGACCCCATGTTCAAGCGCACCTTTCAGATCCAACTAACCTCCAGAAAATTTAAAGGAATGTTCTCTGTCTCTCTGCCTCAACACAAACCAGTTTTTATTCCTCTATACAAGTGTGGTTGATCACCTGTTGGCTGGGAAACTGGCAAAGGACTGATGTGATGTTGCTGGCGTACTGGGCCATCTCCTTCTTGATGGACTTCTCTACATTGGGTGGGATCCGTCCAGAAACACTGGTCATGATGTCCTGAAGTTCCAGCAGAGGCAAAGATGGGTCTCTCAGTGTCTTCATTAGTCGCTCGACCCAGCCTTTCACCTAGAGAGAGACAAGTCAGTGTAAAGACAAGCACAAAAAAAAAAAGAACAAGCAGCAAGAAGGGAGAAAAGGGAAGGCTCTTCGTTGGGGTTTTCTTCAATACTGTTTTATCACACAGCTAGTTCAGGGACTAAAAGAGAGAACTGGGTTAGATGACAAAGCTGCTGTGCTACCTTACAGCCACAGCTGACTCCGATTCACCCACCTTCCTTCCTCCTCCCTCTGGGACTCCTACCACAGCTGACTCTGCATGCAGCCCCCAGGCACAAGCCGCAAACATCAAGCTCAACTCCTTGTCTTTGCCTTTGTTTTGGGTGCCACAGATGGGACTCTCCCATCTTACTCTCTGGTGAGACTGACTAGAAGGCAGCCCAAGAAAGAAAACCAAGGTGAGCTGGCACTAGCGGGGTAGCACTGCCCCGACTCGTGGTCCTCTGGCTGTGACAGGCAAACTGGCCAGCCCTACCTCGACCTGGAACAGTATTTGTGCTCTCACTCTGAAACAAGAAGTAACCCGTACCTTGCTGCTGAAGTAGGGCTCTGGCAAGCAGTAGCCATTCATCACATTGACCAGGTTATCCAGGACGTAATGGAAGATGCGATGGAGTTTCTCGCCTCGAAGTGCTGTGCTCTGGATCTGCGGCAAGGTACCCGTGTGCAGTTCAGCCTGGAAACACAGGGACCAGCACAGTGTCACTAAACCTCCCGTACGGCCACAGCCACGGTGGTAACATCCAGTTACCCTTGACTGGAGGCTCGGATTGAACTTGGAAGAATTCCCAGAGTAGAAAATGCACTTGGGTTGAGAGACAGAAGTGTTATCAGCTGGATCTCCAACAGTTCTGTGCTGTGTACACCCACAAAATAAGCTTCCAGCCTCTCTCCCAAATATGTTACAGCTGATCGCTTTGTTTAGATCCAGGATGACCAAAAATCTCACGGAAAAGCATAAGAAAAGCCATCAGTTTAGTGACAACAATCACTTTCCACCTCCCATGATTTTCAACTAGTGTTGCTAAGAGAACAATAGGTGCTTTTCCACTGCCACCGGCGACATCCCAGCCTATCATCCCTAAATGAATATTTCTCTGCCTTTCACCTTAAAAGAGACTCATGTCCTAGGCTTTTTTTTTTTTGTATTTCCAGATTTGCTACAATTGCTTTCACAGGACCCAACACTTTTGGAACTGGGACATCAACTCCTGTCCTCCCAAAAAGGGTCACTTAATGAAGAATATACGATCAAAAGAAATTAAATGAACTTGCACAGGAATAAAGCAGATAGGCCAATATCCTCGACAGCCACGTACCCACAGTAGTACTTGAGGCAAGATGAAAACAAGAATGGCAAAAAAGCTTAGCCTTAATCAGAGAAAGAGACAGTAATCTGAGTCCTAGGCCTCATCTGAGACAAACAAATGGCAAAGCGACAATTCCAGTACAACGCACAAGGCTGAAATTGGTTCAGTACACTGGACCATCTCGTACCACTCAACATCATTCTCCTATTAAAAACA